TCGTCCATCTGCCTGTTCTGCTCCCCACTCTGTCTCTGGTGAATCCTCTCACCCTCCACATCTCTAGCCTGTACCCCAGTTCTGTATGAATAAATAAGTAAATCTTTAAAAAAAAAAAACAGTCCCTTGCTTTGTATAAAAAGTAATATATCCAATTCTACTGCCAATGTGGACTCTGTACTTAGGTCCAGTGACAAAAGGGGAGAAAAAGGGAGTCTCCTTTTATCAATTTTAATATCCCCATACATTTTTCAAAACTAGGGACATACATAGTGTTCAGTATCCACATTATAATGGTCCTTTATTTTTCTCATATTTCCCTTTCATTTTTGTCCATACTTTTGCTGTTATATTCAAAATGATATGACTGGAAGATTTATGTGAGCAGAATCTATTGTACTGTAGCTCTTTCTCATGTCTATTCCACATAAAAAATATTCTGAGGAATAAACTTTAACTCTTCTATTTCTCATGACAAACACTGAGTTTGGAAAGCTGCCCTTCCTTCCATGTAGCAATTCTGTATTACTCTCCAACATTCTGGAAGAGAGGCACTAGTATTCAGTGACCATGCCGTTTTCTTTTAAATGCTACCAATTTCCCCACGAAGAATAGCCCATTTAGATCTGTGTGTAGCGCCATCTCCTGACAAAGGAAGTAATTGCTTTCGTGAATAGAGCATCTGCACATCACAATCTGAGGTTTTACATAAATCACACCAAAATTTAGAAAGTCAGCATAGTAAGAAAAAGATATGGATATCTTGGTGTTTTTATGCTAAGTGTTTCTATGAAAGCATGAAGCTAGAAATTAAATGCAGTAACCTCTGGAATACTCAATTTTAGGGATTTTTCTAGAGTTACTTTTTATAGTCAAAAATTGTTAGATCAGTGCACAGATAAGCCAGAGATTACCTAATAAACTTAACTATTTGGCATTTCCCCAGGGCAAAAACATCTAGATATTGAATAATCTTATACTGGAGAAAGCACAGATGGTGACAATTTTCCAAAAGCCCTTATTTATTTGCAAGAAATTCCATTCTTGATTTTCAGTACATAATTCAACATAAGTATGCAATTATTGTCACTAAACACACACACATCATTTTATGGTATAAAGGCATTTCCTGTGTGTATGCATTTGAATACAAATTTCTGATGTAATTTTAGGGCCCTGGCTCCACTAAGCACTTTTGCCTCTAAAAAGCATCCAATGAAGACAGGAAAGTTCTGAATTCATTCCGTTGTGACAAAAATAGCAAAACCTAGAACATTATTTTTACACAATACATACATGCAATAAATTTTTGTTTGAATATATACATTATGTGAAATACAGTGTTCTAGGTTTTGTCACTTTATTTTAGAGATTTAACTTTATTTATGCTTATAAGAACTGGGTGTAGGCCGCAGGTGCAGGGGTAGGGGTGGAAGAATTCGCCGGAGACAGTGCAGAGCAGGACAGGTGGATTTACTGAAATACACTGCTGAGAGGAGCAGAGGATGAGACAGAATCTGCTGTCTGTGGCTGCAGCTGCAGCAGTGATAGCATGAAAGCAGAGATAACCCTGAGGCCAGGGAGGCTCCCTTTCTATTTTAGTCAAACAGTTCTCAAATGCTAATATGTGTTCAGCTTGTTTGGCCTTCTGCAAAGAACTAAATGGAGCAAGTTAAAAGTCCCAAGTAGTGGTGTTTTAGTGCATAGACTCAAAGAGGAAAACAAAATGTCATCTTATTAAAATATAGACCACCAGGCCCTCCCTGTTGGTGCAGCGGGTTGAAGCACAGCACTAAGAAGCTAAAGCCACTTCAGAGTGAGTTCGATCCCCAGCCCAGGAGGTGACCCATATGGCACGGCAGACCTCTCCTGACCTGCCCGCTGCTCCCCTCAGCAGTGTACTTCGTCGGTCTGCCTGTTCTGCTCCCCACTCTGTCTCTGGTGAATCCCTTCACCACCCCTGCACCTCTGGCCTGTACCCCAGTTCTGTAAGCATAAATAAATCTTTACAAAACAAACAACAACAACAACTATATATATATATATATAGACCACCAACACAGGGAATGATGATTAAGCATTTGTCCATTTTTTTCCCTTTTCTGATGAAGTGGAATTAAATCCTTCACTAACTAAAATGGGCAATACTCTGGAAATCAATTAAATATTATAATTTTATAGATAAATTTTACGAACATAATGTTCTAGTGGTATAAAACCCTGAAGGAGCTGCCACAGGAAAACTTCAGAAGTAATATAGATTTTAATAAGAGAATATAAATCTTAGTATCAAGAAAAAATTATGTAAATTAAGGTAGGTCTACACAATTATTCCCATTAAGTTCTTGGACTCTGAATACTGTTTCAGGAGAAAAAAGTGAAGTGTGATAAAATGTTCCTTTATTTCTGTGCTTGCTCTATCTGTGGAATGGAATTTTCCTTACAAATAAGTGTGGGTTGTGCTACAGGAGTTGAACAAAAAGAGTTCATCTTTCTAAAGAACTGCTTACTTATGAAGTCTTTTGATAATTCAGACATCTGGACAGCTGCGTTTAATCTGTACTTAGTTTAACTCTACTTGCATTCATATCTTCCACAAAATTTCAAATGTAAAGTATGGATATTCAACTTCATCTTTAAATAATTTAATATTTTAGTGAGTCAGCTAATTTAGACCTGAGACTGAATCCTAGACTTACCTTCCAGAACTGCAACAGGCACTGCTCCAGTTCCTGATGATAGCATGACCAGGCAGTACTCAGGGAACCCCAAACCTGCACCCTCTACAGGGGTCTGGCCATCCATGTACACCAAGGAAAAGCATACACTTATGTGATAGAACTTTAATAGGATTAGTGTGCACAGAAAGAGAAGAAGGACAATAGTTCCCCAATAAATTACTCAAAACTGCCCATCCCCTTGTGAGCAAATGCCCAAGCAAACGAGGTCGGTCTAAAGCAGGGCTGTGAAGGCCTGAAAGCTGGTCACAAGTCTAAGGCACCTTCTGACAGGAAACCATAGGAAAAGGATTCTGAAGCGAGTCCCAGAAAGCTAGTACAATAGGAAAAAACACATCCAGACAACAGCCATGGTAGTCTGTCTCCCCACAGCTCACCCAGGTGTCTCTCCTCCATGTCGCCTTCCTAGCAGTACTAGGTGCTCAATGGCCACAGAAACAAGAGGCATGCCTTCTGCCCACCTGCCTTCCATGTTAAATAGCTGCACCGGTCACTCAACTAGACCCTTATTCCAGTTGCTAGCTCAAGGTAGCTGAGGTAAGTGGAGTTGGAGAACATGATACCTCCCCATTTAATGGAGAGGCCTGCGTAACCAACTACTAGGCCCATGTCAAAATAAACCAACAAACAAAAACTCAAGAGCCTTTGTAAGAAAACTTACTGCAAAGAGGGGATGTTATGCTTTAATAAAAATAGTAATTGAAGTGTATAAAATGAACAAGTATGTTTAAATCCATATAGTCATCATAATATAAATTTACTGATTACAGAAGGAGGAATATAGGGAACACTTTAATCTTGAAACTAGTAAATAAAAATCCTAATTAAAATAGCATTAAAGTGGGCCCTCCCTGGTGGCGCAGCGGGTTAAAGCACGGCACAAAGAACCTTAAGCCACTTCCGCATGAGTTCGATTCCCGCCTGCCCCAGAGGAGACCACATGGCATGGCAGACCTCTCCTGACCCGCCCGCTGCTCCCCTCAGCAGTGTACTTCGTAGATCTGCCTGTTCTGCTCCCCACTCTGTCTCTGGTGAATCCTCTCACCCTCCACATCTCTGGCCTGTACCCCAGTTCTGTACGAATAAATAAATAAATCTTTAAAAAAAATAGCGTTAAAGCATTAATAGCATCATTTTGCTATTTCCTAGTGAAACTACACACTGCACATCAAATATGCTACCATGAACAGAGAGACAGCTGTGTTCCTGATGAAAAAAAATTGTAATACTACCTGCAGTTTTGTAAGTGAGAAGGAAACTGAGTCTAAAAAATCTGAGTCTAAAGAAATAGTCAAGTCTCTGGATCCAGCTGGAAATTATTAGGAAATCCAACATATTGAACTATATGACTGTTTCCAAGATATAAATCTAGTTTGTTGGAAATAAGATCAATTCGCCTTCTCTACCAGATTAACTGTGGGGAAATGAAAGGAATAGAGAGGGAAACTACAATTAAAAGAGACTAAAAAGGCATATTATGTGGGTAGTTGGAAAATGTAATGTTCAGGCTGGTACACTATGGTCATAAAGCTGTGGAAGAAGACAAGGAAGTAATTACTATAAAAACTAGATAATGGTGCCTGGAAGAAAGTCCTTGTAATCTTGTTGGGCAACAAGGGTAGGCTTTCTGGCAAAATTTAATTCTTTGCCTGAGTGGTAATTACAAGGACATTTGCTTTATAGTAACACATTAAACTCTATTACTTATTCCTTGCTAGTTTTTTCTGTATGTATTTTATAATAGAATGCT